AAACGTGCCACAAATAATGTCAGAAAGAATATGCGTTGATTGGACGGTATGGCACGGGTGATGTGGTGGTGGTGGTGGTGGCCGTTGGGTTATAGCGACCAACTCTATACTCACAAAAACAGCAGTTACCCTGGTCCAGACCCGACGCAGAACATCAATTCACCCATGACCCTTCTCGTGACCCGTTGACCTAAGTGTGTATGTGTATGTGTGTGTGTGTGTGTGTGTGACCTCGCCCTTCCCGTTTCATTCCCGTTCCTCTCCCTCTCCTTTCTCTGTCTTCCCGATTCCCCAGTTCTGAGCCACTGATTGACAATTTTGTCTTTTTTACGTCTTTCCCAACCACTGTCCACAACTTTCATACCGTCCAATCAATGCATACTCATTCTGACATTATTTGTTACACATCTGTTCACTTTATATAAATATAGCTGTATTAGCCAGAGGATGAAATTATCGAAAACCAGATTGTTCGCTACTCGTGTTGTATTTATCTTGTTAGACATTCTTCATTACGCCAAGCAGAGTGGAAATATCCAGGACCATTTCGATTGAAAACTGATTAATGCCGCGAATTTGATTTTCAATAATAAATCTAAATTTTCAGGGGACAGTTGCAACCCAATTTGCGGCACAAATACCAAAATCGTGGCTTTTGAAGATTCATTCTTAATTGATATCTATGATAATCTATCAAATGTGTGCAGTCGATGAAATAAATTACCCGGTGGTTAAACTCTCAAACTCCTATTTGTTGACGGGGAATCTATGACAGATCACAAATCTCGTACCAAAGCCATGACTGCGCTACTAATTTTAAATTCAGTAAATGAAAACAAAGTAAAAATATCATGACTAAGACTATAACTATTAAATATTTTGTTTGTTAAGTTGGATTTCAGCTTAATAATCTTAAGAAGAAACTGTTTACGAACAAAAGCGGTGACGTTATTCGAATCATCCCTGTGCTCTTTTCAACTCAAATTAATCGATCCGATTCCGACTTAAAGGAGTAACATAATACGAGTAGAATTGATACTTGTCATGAATTTCGCGTGCTCTCAATCAGCTGTCTGTGTACATGCAATAAGTCGGAATATCTTAAGCACAAGACCACATATGGACATTTACGTAACGTTCAGACCTATTTGTTATGCGTAGACAGCTGATTGAGTACATGCCAAATTGATGACCGATATCATCAATTCTACTCATACTGTGTTACTTGTTTTATTCAAGTGAATCAAACGAAAAGGTTGTTTCCGATATTTCAAAGAGCACCTCTTTACACAAACGGCAAAACGTTTTCACAAATTGTTGACATTTATCTGTCCAACTACCTGTGACACTGCTTGCTTACATTATTTTTTTAAAAGATTACCCGAAGCGTGATGTGAATCCCAATTTTTTTGAGACTCTCAAGGGGTCTCTGAATTATACGTTTTGTAAATCAGCCATCATAAAATCATAAAAGTATCCGAGTTTAACTGAAAAACAAGTTGTACTTTTTTAACTAACCGGTGTTCGTTTCCAAAATCATATCTTCTGTTTCATTGAGGGGTTCCTGATCTTCTGTCACCATCAGGTCACCGCGTGATTGAGTCGATTTTGCTTCAAGCTGTATGTGGTGCATTTCCGTTTGAGCGGCTTCTTTATCCTCGGGACTGGAAGTACCGATCGATCCGGTCACGTCGGATTTGTGACTAACATTCACATCCCCAATTGCCAATCGATTTTCCCAGGTCAGTCGACTCCTTCGGGAGTACCAATCGATTAGGGCGAACAGATAGCCCAGGAAACAGAGGAAACCGGCAAATCCGTACAGACTGAGCAGAATCGGAATCATGATTGTATGTATGATTCAATTGTTGAACAAAATGAATGTGTACCGGGAGACCGAATCACGGTTGAGTGTAGCGATGGAGGAAACGGATCATCAATCGGACTGTGAAAAGTGCAGAGCGAATGATACACATTTATCAGAACTTCCTTCATCAGCTTTATGTGTGAAACTATTAGGGCAAACTAGAGAACAGGTGTGGTTAACGTTACTGTTACAACAGTTACTGTTACCACAGTGAACAGTCAGCAAGCGGTTGAATCAGAATCCCATTCATTCAGAAACCACTTGAATGTTTTATCCGATTTGGTCTGGGAAACACTACAAATGGCTTATTCAACAAGCCGCGTATGTCAAGGTCAAATTTAGGTAGTCACGGTTTAGGGCTTCTCGGAATATATTTTGAGTACTTTCAGGAGGAGGGATTTTAAGTGAATAGTTTACAGAGACAAAGATCAAAAAGATCACCGAAAATTCCAGAATTGACCTTGTTCTCTCGCCTCTCCTTCGTCTACTGTCCTCATTTTATTCAATCGTTCTGAATAAACTTGATAGACATCGTTGTATTTTCATTCTTTATCTCAATGGAACAGTTACATTTATTTCTACATGAGATATATAGACAAATAACTGCAAATGCTTGAAGATGAAGTTACGAAAACACGCTTGTTCGCTATATTGTTTGTCAATTTAGGATACTTGTGTTGACTGGAATAAAAACTTCTCATGAATCAGCAATCATTTGTGAGAAAGAATGAATTTCCTTGCTGCTTAGCATAAAGTATTATTTAACACTGAACTGTGCGTTTTGGCCTACTACAAATGTTTCCGCAATAATCAAGGTCACGTGAATTCAAACATTGATACGAGAGGACGAAAATCATTTCAATGAGCGATGAAGGTCAGACTGAAAGGTGTTCACTTATGCTGGAAACTAAAATGTATTTCCGAGATGAGATTCATGTTGCACGAGTTTGAGCAATATATATATATATGTGTGTGTGTGTACAAAATACGGACGCTGGATATCCGAATGAGGTTGGCCCGCGGTCCTATCATGGGTCTACACAATAATGGGAATAGTTCACGATATAAGTTCGATTGCTTGCGAATCGAGGTGAGTACGTCTTCGTTACTTATTCACAACTTGCGCAGGCTGCTTCCTAATCGACATCGAATGGTTTCTCTCCTCTGTGAGCGTCATCTGTGTTTACCATTCTACTAGGCGTAGTTGGTCTCGTTCAATTACTCGGTCAATGGTTAATGAGAATAGCTCGAGTGGATGCATCCCCGATGGCATCCAGGTTGTACTGCACAGACAGTTGGTGCCCATCACCTTCCATCAGATAGTCCCACTGGCAGCAGTACACTCTGCGCTGTCTGGAAAGAATGCGTGTGTGTGAACGAAAAACTGTGAGTGGAGATCACGTGATATTGTCCAGTGAAACAAGGAGCCAAGGGGAATGTGATGGATTTGGAGAGCGTGTGTGTGTGAGAGAGAGAGGGCAGTTGGTTGGCGGGTGTTTAATGAGGGCGTGATGTTTATGAAAGTGCAAAAGGGCACATTTATAACGCAAATTTACTGGCTCGAGCCTATTTAGCTGGTGCCAGATGTTGATTTACAAAGAAACCCATTACGTCCGGAAGGTCATAGCAAACCCGACTGAGTTGCGTTCTGCAACATAAAGTTGTTTAATGGAACTACACTGTAATTACTTCTGCTTATAGTACATTTGTGCAAACAAAAATCCAAAGTAGCCGCAAAAGTGTTTTTCTGTTCTTGTTGCTTAGGCGCCAATAAACGAGGCGATCGCCTAGGTGATGGATCAATCAAATGAAGTCATGTGTGAACCATTCCTTCAAAGGGGAATTTTTCAAGAGAAAGACCAATCGCTCCAGCTCTCACGTTGTTGTTGTGCATATTTCACAAAATCTGATCTTTTCTCGCACAAACAATGAGAAGAAAGAACTCCCAAGGCATATACATGATGGTCATGCGTGATAAGCGTCAAGAGAAACTTTTTTATATGGTCAGCATCGATACAACTGAATTTATGCCCATTGAGGTACCTACATCCACCAGTCCTTGATTAAAATAGATAGTGTATCCTGCATAAAATATCATCTCAACCACTGCAATATCACTTAGCTTTCTCTTTGACTTTTGACTTTTTTGTAATCAGCCACCATATTCTCACAGACCGCGATTACCATAAATTCATTGGTCACTTTCAGATTTCCAAAACTGTTTTGGGTTTCACCGCATGCGCGTTTCATCACACTACGCACCATTCTGTATGGCTATACGTTCATTTGAAATCCCTCTTCTGTCCGCTCTAAGTGGTGGGTATTGGTCTCAAATCGCCACTCTCATAGATTTACTGAGATTGAAATTTAGTCATCGATTCGATTACAGAATCGGTTAAATTGAACAGATTTATTGTGATTCAGGTGG